TTGAAGTCATTCACTTTTTTTTAAGCCATTAGCACAGTCATGTTCGAGTACAGCACCAGAGTGCTATACATGTAATTTAAAATTCTAAATTGTGTTTTTAGCCGTACTTGATGAAGAGTATGACAGAGTTGAGGCAGCTCTGATACAGTTAGAGAATATCTGTGAGGAGCAGGAACTACAGAATGCTAAACTACTGGACTCCCAAAAGTTAGCAGCATATCGCAACAGAAAAATGAATGAATTAGAAAAATTAAAAGGTATACTGGGTATGAAAGTGTAATAGTCTAGTACAAATTTAATTGTTTAGCCTAGCTAACATGTTATTTTGTTAAGTGAGTGTTTTTTTTAAATTTAGAAATTCATCCTTCATGAGGAATGTTATTCACAATTTTTGAACATCTGACAGTAATAGTTGTCTCAATTTGTGTTACTTATATATATTTGTTTCATTTAAAAAAAAGCTGCATGTAGTATATTTATTCTGCAGCTACCCCTTGCATTGACCTAATAAAGGTAATCTAATAAACCAAAGCTATATTCGGTTAATGCCCTAATAAAGTCTCGTGCATGTATTCCGATGTTCTAAAATACGATGGCCGACAGCGGCCGCCACTTTTGATTCTGAATATTGTCATTTTGTACAGCTTTTTTGTCAATTTTCGTTGACAAATTACAACTAAACTGGTAATGCTATATGTCCATATACAGTTTTTTCACTGACAATTTACACTGGAGAAAATCATTAAAATTCTTTCTTGTGATATGAAATGAAGATACATAAAACAGGTTACTTGAAGGTTATAAGCTTAAGGTTCTAGCAGAACAGCAAGGTCGGGGTGATTACAGATTAGTATTGTCTTCTAGATATGCTTTCTCGACAGATTGTAGTAATTAATTCATAAAATTCCATGTTGGTGTACCTGCTGGTCACATCATAAGTAACCAGGATGAAATTTTCCAGGTCTATCAGAAATTTGATTTTGTTCATAATCGGACGTGTTTTTGATGTATGAATTTTGTTTTTTAAACAATGCGCACGAGGAAATGATCACATTAGATACATGTACCTATATTTTCATTCCCGTGCCACATTGAAAAATAATTGGCCGACCAGGTGGAAGTCTTGAGAGACTGCGTTGGCCTTTAAAAGTGTTTCAAGCATTTAGTTATTAATTTTATGTATTTAGAGAGCAAATACAGACTCCCACATTTAAGGTTGTCATTTTATTCTTGCTTAAAAACGGGTATATTTCCGTATCTAAAGTTTTGTTTTTGATACATTCCATAAACTTTTGATTGGATGCTCACATGTAGAGCTACTGAATCCTGTTTTTCTACCTCTACATAATAGGTAGAATCGAGTTGTCTCATACACTTTGAGGATCGACATATTTCCATTATATTCATGTATATCCATTACAACAAACGTATTACTTTTATTCGCCTTTTTAATTACAATCCCAAGAATATCTTTTTAATGATACAACAAGGTGACAGAATGACGATTTACGTCTAATCTAGGATTAACTGGGTTACGATACCTCAGACTAATTGAGGGTGAAAATCATTAAAATGCTCCTTATCTCTTTCAAGCCACCTGTTTTATGTATCTTAATTTCATATCACACGAAAGAATTTTAATGTTTTTCGCTGGTGTAAATTGTCAGTGTAAAAACTGTACATGTACATATAGCATTACCAGTTTAGTTGTAATATGTCAACGAAAATTGACAAAAACACTGTACAAAATGACAATATTCTTAATCAGAAAGTGGCGGCCGCTGTCGGCCATCGTACTAAAAGCATTGTGATGTCATATGTATTGCGATGTTTCCGCTATGGTGTCTTAGTTTCAGCTGCAGAGATGTGCCTAAATTGGGTTGAAAATTGCACGTTTTGGAGGTCAGATGTAAAAATATGTTGCAGGATAAACAAAATACACGCAGCTATGTTAAGGCTTCCCGAAGCTTTAAAATGCGCTCAAAACATAATATGTCATTGCGAGGTCGGTTTTGGTTTTAATTTTTAAGTATTGAACTTTAGTACTTCAAATTTATATAAAGGGTTTCCTCGGCTATATATTAACATATTTGTTATGATATCACATGACTTTGTTGATCACGTGACGGTCATTTATAATTTTTTGAAGTGTTTCATATAAATCGCTTCGGCGCAGCTGATTAACACGATAATTATTAACATTTTGTTATATAAATAAACTCATCGTATCCTTGTGTATCCGAAATGTGCTTGGGAAAAGTCATGGTATTACTTGGGTACAAAATATTTCCTGAGAAATTCAACTTACCTACAAATTTGAGGGTATTTTCCACATAATATCGTAATCTGTATTAAAACAAAGCCAACACACATTTTTCCCAAGCAAGATTCAGTTAAAGAACAACCTCTTCTTACAGATTTCCACAAAAATTCTCAGATTAATCCTCATTAATCACCTGCGCCAGACTCTTTTATACACATAAAATAAATTCTACCTCCAACCACGGGTATAAAACAGAGTACATTTCAAAAGTATATTTTTCATAAGCATTTTGAACATGCTGAATTTCAATCAAGGGTAGGTAAGCGGTGTATTTTTAAAATTTACGGACATATAAGACTTCAAAAACCTTTAACGACCCGTGAATTTTGCAAAAGCTATCTAGCATTTTACATGCAGTTTGAAATAAAGTGTAAACTTCATGACACTCTCCCCGTCATAACACCTCAAGTTTGCAGTGACTTGACGTCATTTTCCATTATGACGTCATATTTTGGTAGTTCTGAGATGTGAAGGCACAGAGTGCACTGTAATATTCTACGGGAAGCCTTAACCTACCTGCGCATGAAATCTTTGTTGATATATAAGCGATATTCAGGCCAGGGTCGAAAACATGATGGAGGGCTCGGCAAGCCTCTCCCTCTATCACTTTTTCTTACCATCACCCAAATATCGCTTATATTTCAAGACAGTAACCATGTATTTTATATTTATAACCTCAAGCTTGAAATCATATACAGGTATGCGCATTGAAGTGGTAAAAATTTTTGTTTGAATGGAATGTTTTGAGCTTTCTTTTGGATTTTGATTGTAACATAATGGCAGACCCTTTTCTTTAGAAAGTGATTCATTCAAAAACCTGTAAATCAGAAGTCAATAATACAATAGTAAATCAGATTGAAACTCTACATAAGCACTGATTAAACCATTGTTTGACCAATACATGTTGTAATTTCAACAAATAAACTCATAACTATGTATAAAATTTGTTTTACTAATAAATATATACTGGTACATGTTCTTACCTCAGAATATATACTGCATACTAATCAATTAATTTCAGTTCAACTTGCAAAAGAGCATGTGAAAAAGATGCAAAAAGTAGAAAAACACAAACAGATCAAACTGAAAGAACGACAAGAAGCATTCCAGGATGCATTTGACCAGGACGTAGATTATTACAGAACACATGGCAGGCTAGAGCGTGAGTCAAGTTTAAACAAAATTGTTATTTACTTTTTGAAGTAAACAAATCACACATCAAGTTATAGTGGCATTGGATATATATTTTATTTTTTTAATACAAGTCTGTTAAGATGAATGATAAATTCTTTGTAAATCATGTCCATGTGAATCAGAGAGTTTTGAGCACACACTTTCTTTCTTTCTAGTTGATTCTGAAAACTGAAAGGGAATAACCTTTAAGAAAAGGGACTAATTTACATTTTAAACAGTAGAGAGTTCTCATCAATGTTATATTCTTAGGTTTATCAGTATCCAGTTCAGACAGTGGAAAGAAAGCAGATTTGGGAGACATTGTTGTAGACTCGGACCCTGAAGGTCTAGATGAATTCCTTAATGACACGGACACCACACCCTCTGCTGAAACCGGTTTGTCTTGTGTTGACCATGGAATAATATTATAATGATTAAGATATTACCCAATTCTCACTTTATGCACTGGCATCTCTCTAATCTGGATGCATATACTCTTGGCCATTGTTTTAAATTAGAACTGATTTTTACATGATTATGCTCTTAGACAGAAAATTAAGTTGTCAGCATGTTTTGGTTATCCTGATGATTTCATTTGGAATAAAGTTATTTGGATAAGAAGATACCACTATTTTGCCATACAAAAACAATTTTTTCTAGGTATTTTCATTCACTAGTGCTTTGAAAAACTGATTTTTTTTTTTTAAATTACTGGTAATGACAATTATTAAACATGTCTCTGGTATTTAATTAAGTTCACAAATCCATGGTTAAACTAATACATGTATGTTATACCCTTTTTTGATGTGAAGATTCACAAACATTGCAAATAAATCAGGTATACATTTTCATGGTATGATTGTATTTTTCATTTCAACAGTAACACAATCTACAGATAAAACTGAGGAAACTGTCAGCGATGATGAAGATCCCATTATAGTTAGGAGTACCGATGATGTTGATATTGAGGATGAGTACTATGAAGATGACCTTGGGGCCTCCCATGGGGACCAGGAACAATATGTAGATTCAGAGGATATGACAGAAGAAAGCGATATAGAAAAAAACAATACGAGGGACACCAGAGAGTGAAAATTGACTTTCAAAAGCATTGAAATATAAGAAAGAAATCTTATTGTCAGTGACATACATGTATAAACTATAATACACATCAAATAATGTATGTATTTGTTGAATGTTGTAGAAAAATTAAAAAGATTTACAAAAGTTCTACTGAATTTTTAAAAAAATGTTTGTTACTGTCAAGGTCGTCAAATATACATTGTAGACAAAGTTTACATATAGTTTTCCTTCAGTGAACTTGTCAAAAAAGACATTATGCCTTGTGATCAATATTTTATCAACAATACTATATTATTACCATCTCTGTTACAAAGTTAAAATGGAAGTTTGATTCTTTCCTTACTGCTGATTTTTGACCAAATACAAAGGACATAAACTTTCTAGGGTTATAATAATTAAACTTTAAAATTAGGTATGTTAAGCTTCAAATGTTTCTCTCTTTTCAAGTTATCACACAAACTCTGTGACATACAATTTGCATGTGACTGTTACCTCACCTGCAGGAGTTAATTCATAAATAACATAATAATGTATTTAACATCAAGTTTCTATAATGTTTGTAGATTAATTATTCTATCTTTAAGATCCTTTTATTTACTTAGTGCTGGACATCTTCTCTGTGAACAGTGTTATTCTGATTTATGATTAGGAATTGTGCACCACATTGTAAAATTCAGGTACCAGGATTCATAACACAAAATAATTTTTCATTTTTTTAGGTAAATGCAGGACTAGTATGCTTTCCATATGATGGCAAAAAATATTGTATACATTCATAAACTTAATTATAACGACATGCAATTAATTAAATGTGTATATCCCTACACTCCATAAAAAACATAACATAAACAAGAGGCCCAAGGGCCTTGGTGGTCATCTGAGTATAATACAAAAATTTAGAGGATCCATAGAGTATAAAATAAACTGATAGATGCAGCTTTGTTGCTCAAAAGCAAGAGAAATAGATGATCAAGATCAATAAAATAATTAGTCTAGTATTCAATAACAACTCGTACATTAAATTCTAATCTATCCCCCATTAAGCACTATCACCATGCATAATATTAACAAACTATTAGTTCTGTACTACATGTACTTTTAACCCCATATTGTGACCTCTCGCATTGGCTTCTCTTGGTCTTTGAAGAACATTTAATAAGTTATTTTTGTCTCCTTTTTATTTATTTATTATTTACAAGTCTACCTGATCATTTAAACTATGAAAGTACTTTTTGTATTATTCAATAATTTTTCTTGCATAATTCTCTTATTCTATTAACTTTCAAATACATTAATTACAGTGATTAATTTTCAGAAGTGAATGGCAAAGGGGAATAACTTCTCTCAGTTGAATACAAATTAATAGAGCCCTGGCCAGGACCAGAACACTTGACCAAATGGTCCTGATGTTCAAAAGTCTGGTAAAAATACCCTTGCTTATTAAAACTTAAATTCTGTTTGCCTTAGATATGCCAAGGAGCATAGAAGATTTTCAAAGAAATAATGCGTTTTCACTACAGATTCAACATACCCGTACCCTAACACTAAAACCCATGTCCCAGGGTCATGAAACTCTCAAATTTGGTAGAGGTACCCTCATCATCATAACTATGCACTTAGTTGAAGATTTTCAAAGAATTAACACATTTCACTTTATTAATAAATATAGCAACCCCTTCCCCCTAGAAACACCAAAACCGGGGGACCACAAGTTTTAAAAATTTTGTAAGAAGAGAATTGTTCATCATAACTATGCACTTTGTTTATCTGCTCAACACTAAGGAGCAGACAGGATTATTTAACAGAATTAATGCATTTTCACTATATTATCAATAGAGCCCCACCCTACACCAGAACATCTGACTTAGGGGCCATGAAACTCACAATTCTTGAAGAAGCACTCTTGTTCATCATGACTACACACACATATACAACTACATATATATATATAATTCAAATTTAAAATAAAAAATTCAAACTTTAATTCACGGAGTTTCGCCACATTGGGGACTCGTCAGCAGATCTTATGTACACATGTACATAATAATATTGTCGTATTGTGTGTCAGACAAGTGTTGTTACAGAAAATAAATTTTAAAAAGTCATAAATTTATTGTAATGTATATAAGGACTAGTTGCACAAAGAAATACTGAGTATTACTAACTTCTATATTTTTTAATTAGATTAAACTACTATAAGTTTCACATTTACTAGCAATCAAATCATATAAAACAAAGCATTCATATACTAAGATGTAATGATTATAAAACACCAAATTTTCTACCAAATTGAACTTATAATAAAAAGCTTTCTCACAACGTCAAGGGCCTTAAGTCCACGCATGACCGTGGAACTCAGAACCCCTCAGTGACGCTGTGAGTATAAATAAGTAGCTTTATATATTTAAAGAGTAATTCACCATTAAGTAGGTTGATTATAAATTGAATTGCTTGGAATTAGTTGTATTTAACTGTTTTTACTGTAGGTCAATCGCACCTCCCGGTGGACCTTTTGCTTAACTCTATATAATTATTTCTTTTCCTCAATTCCTACTTACATCAAGTTTCTTTTCTCTGCAAAATAATGCACAGGGATTTTTTTTTATTGGATATAAGATGTCTGGCCGCTCATCAGATTGTCATGCCATGTAACTTAGTCACTTAGTGTTGTTTCAGATTCGAAATATCTTTTAAATGGATGACCAGTTTTTATAATCAAATCTTTACATTGATCTCTACTCTTTAGTTCTTTTGTATCATTGTCATCTACCTTAACTGAAAATTCTTCAGGATCATCTTTAGGTCTACAAATACTGAGCATTGTGTGCAATTCACAAAATTTTAAAATCATGTCGATATCGTGTGTAGATATACATTGAAACAGCGCAATTTGAAAAACTTCATGCGAAATTCGGATCGTATCCCCTTCATGATGTAAATATGCAGCAATGTCAGTGTTACCAACATCATCGAGGTCCTCTTTATTGAGAGGTGTAGGTAGCTCGTGTGCCCACTCCTTTAAGGCGTTGCCTTTACGATGTTCTCTTATAAATAAAATGTACAGCAAGATGTAGAAGGATTTGGGTTCTTCTGATCGTAATCTTTGGAAATTCACCACTAAAACCCCAATAGTTTTCTTCGGAAATGTGTCATCTGCGAAAAGACTATGATTTTTTGAGAACGCCATCAGAAGAAAGGGATTTCCAACTTTCCCTGAATTATTTTTCAGTTTGGTTTCTACAGGCGAAAAATCAGTTTTTTCATACCAGCAGTCCTTATGTGACAGACATCCTTTCCTGATGGTTGTTTTGAAAATATGGTAAAGTTCTGCTGAACTCAATCTGTCCATATCCACCGTAAAATTAAAGTTTTTTAGCGAATCAAAGTTTTCACGTCTGTCTTTTTCTAATTCTTGTAAAACATGTTTGTGAACGGATACTAGCAACTTAAACTTTTTTGTCTTTGAGTCTTTCCGGCACTGTGAGCATGCCTCAAGCAAATCTTTAACACTCTTCAGTTGCTCCAAGGTGAATTTTTCATAGGCCACATCCCCAAACAAATTATCACAACAAAGGAGCTCTTTCAGTATATCCGTAGAAGGTACTTTTTTCCCACTCTCCTTTTGCTTATCTGTAAAAGGTGGTATCTTTTCTACCCACTCCACTTTCCACCCATCTTTACGATATTTCTCTACAACGTATTTCAATGCCTCTGATTTACCAGAACCTATTACACCACTACAGACGACCAGATCTCCCTCTTCCAACTTCTGAAAGATATCTTTCACCTTTTCTGTCAAAACAACATCTTTGTCAGCTTCACAATCAGGTTTCAGTTGTTTCCCTACAAAATTAAACACAGATGAGTTCGCACGAAAGGTTTATGCATCTCATGATTGCACACTGATATTTGGGAAAATCAGTACACGTGAAAGTAAGAGGAGATCCTTTGTAAAATATACCCCTTCCCTTGTTTAGCTTAAAATAAAACTAAATAATAGTAGATCATTTCTACGTGTTAAATCTCTGAGAGCACTTTCATTTATAATAAAATGATATCGATTCTAAAATTTTGGGATTTAAAACACACAGAATAATGACACAATACATGTATGTAATTCAAAGAATATCATTTTTCAGCAAATGTTGAAAAAAATGGATAGGAAGAAATACCGGGGTGCATTTAAACATCTAATCAAAATTTTTGATCTTCTCTAAACAAGCAAGAGCATACTTTTATAAATATCCAATTTCTTTACATAACGTTTCAATGAGGTTATATCAAGCACCCAACTTACAATTTATTTTTTCTTTGGATCCCATGGTTTCAACATTTGAAATAGGTATTTCCCCGTATCGATCCCGTAATCGTTGGAATGTTTCTCTGATTGTCTTTTCATCTACACTTCCGTCACACATTCCATTCCAAAGAATTCGTATTCTGGCGATATCAGCTTCAAGAGAGACATCTTTGTCGAAAGGTTTATTTTCCCATCCTTTGCGTGATTTTTCAAAGCCGCAAAGATTTGTCAGAAATGTAAAAACAGTTGAATTTGTTAATACTTCAAAATCTCCAGTTTCTAACCATTGAAGCTCGTCACTGTTAAGGTCATTTATGAATGATTTTTTGTACAAATATTTAGTTTCCTTCACTATTTGCTCTATATTAATGCCGCATTTTTTTGGTAGGTCTTTCAGGAAAAGCACGAGAGAATATAGTTTGTTTACTGCTTCTAGTTTCTTCTCACTTTCAACTGATCTATCATCTATTCATCAGAAAATAAATGACTATTAAATTATATAATTTCAGTACAATTAAAAGTAATTGCACCTCTTCCAAAAGAGTGTTTACATATTAATCAATCTGTGAATAAGATATCATTAGAAAGAGTCAAATGCTGTAATCAGAGAAAGGAAGGGAAAAATGCATCCTATATATGGGATACAATTATTTAGTTTAATTTAAAAAAAGTCTTTAGATGAATTTAATGGTACAATAATAAATATTAATTTAAAACAAGAGCCTTATGGGCCACATCGCTCACACTTGCACATTGGCTAGGAAAAAGTAGAAGTCAGTTCAACATTAAAAAGTTTAAATATATAAGTAGTCCCAAACTACCCCCGCTGGAAAACAAACTTGAATCTACTCTAACTGAGGATGCTTCCATATTTCTTTGACTTATCACGGCTTTACAAGATTTCAAAAAAATTTCCTACAAGTTTTATCTTCTATTGTTGCTCCGCCCTATCCCCAGGGGTCATCATTTGAGCAATCTTGAATATACACTACCTGACAATGCTTCTTTAGAAGAAGATTAAAAAAATCCTATAGAATTCCTATTGAAAACTTTGATCAACTGATGTGATTTGAAAACATTAGAATCTACACAAACAAAGTATGCTTTTGTTTGTTTGTTTGTTTGTATGTTGTTTAACGTCCCTCTCGAGAATTTTTCACTCATATGGAGACGCCACCACTTGCCGGTGGAGAGCTGCAAATTTTGTCCTATACTCGGCACTGGCCATTGAGCAGTGAGGGATCTTTTTCGTGCCAGCACCTACTGCGACACGGGACCTCGGTTTATACGGTCTCATCCGAAGGACCGGTCTCCACGTCCCACAGTGGGATTCGAACCCGCGACGTAAGGATCAGCTCCTTACTTCGCGACTCTAGAGCAGACGCTCTAACCACTGCGCCACGCGGGCGACAAGTATGCTTTTGTATAAATGTGACTAATTATGGCTTTGCTGTTCCTGACAAGATTTTCAAATGATTTTTTTCTATATAAAACTTTGACCCTCCATAACTTGAATCTACACTACCTGAGGATGTTTCCATATGAATATTGATTAAACACGTTTTTGTTGTTCTATGTAAAACTTTGAATACCCATTGTAACCTTTCCTACGCACCACCAGGGGTCATGATTTGAACAGACTTGAATCTACACTACCTAGGAATGCTGCTTCCTTATAAATATGATCAACAAGGGCTTTGCTGTTATTGAGAAGATTTTTAAAGATTTTCCCTATATTTGTAGAACTTCGATCGTCCATTGTAGCCTCAGCTTACCCCTGGGTCATGATTTGCACAAACTTGAATCTAAACTACCTGAGGATGCTTCCACGTAAATTTCATAATTTCGGACCCTGTGGTTCTTGGATAGAAGCTTTTTGAAAGATTTTATAATCTCATCTTGGAAGAAGGTGTGGCCCTTTATTTAAACAAACTTGATTTACCTTTACCCAAGGATGCTTTGCAGCACGTTTTATTGAAATTGACCCAATGGTTCTTGAGAAGAAGTCGAGAGTATGAAAAAATTACAGACGGACAGACAGACAGATGTCGAAATATGACCAGAAAAGCTCACTCGAGCCTTTGGCTTAGGTCAGATAAATTGCCAGTGCCATACTTTTAAAGGTCTTTCTTCTTCCATTCCTCGGAGTTGTTGCTTCTATGAAAAAAAAATCAAGGAGAATAGAGGAATTTTGATTAAAAGTAATGTTTAAATATCGATGTGTTATTACAACAGAATGTAAAGAAATGTACCTTGACCCGATAAAAAGGCAACACCTGAAATAGAATTAAAAACACATGTAAAGCTTTTTATTGCAAACACTCTACATGTTTATTTGAAATGATTAAAAAAACCCACTCATTACTTAAATTTCGACGTGCATGTGTAGTAGCACCTAAATTATAAACAACATGTCAGTGGTCACATACTGTATAACCACTTTACAGATTACAAGTATTTTCAAAAGACAATTAAGAGATGTTTGTGAAACACTTACGACCACTGCAATAATTGGAATTTTTGCAAGGGGCATAACTCTGTAAAAAAAAATGCTCGATCGTACCCAAAAGGGAAATTGACTTAGTGGTAATCCAACTTATACCCATAGCTCCCTTTTTAAGGGGGAAATTCTTCAAAATCATATGTCAGTTTTGAATATTTTTAATATGCCAAACAACAAAAATGAATTTAAATTACCATATCAATATTGGATTCCGAAACTTCATAAAATCCTTACAAACAAAAATACATAGCGGGTTCCAGTAAATGTTCTACCAAACCTCTTTCTTTACTCCTCACTAAAATATTAACAGTAGTGAAGGAGAAACTTCAAGAGTACTGTGCAACAATATATTCGAGAAGTGGTGTAAATCAGATGTTGATACTAAAAATTCCAAGGAACTTTTGGAACATTTGAAATCACAAAATTTTACCAAAATCAACAACATAAAAACTTATGACTTTTCAACTTTATATACAACTATTCCCCACGATGAATTAAAGTCCAGACTTTCTGACATCGTTGACTGCTGCTTTTTCAATAAAAATGGAACTCGTAAATTTACTTACCTTGTCATTGGTCATTTGCAAAATTACTTTGTTAAAAAAAATCTTATTGTACACACAAGTACTCTGAAGTTGACATTAAAAAAATGCTCGAGTTTCTGATTGACAATATCTATGTGGTTTTCGGAGACCAGGTCTTCAAACAATCTATTGGAATTTCCATGGGAACCAATTGCGCCCCGTTATTAGCAGATCTATTTTTGTATTCATATGAAGCAGAATTTGTTCAAAATCTTTTACGTGAAAAGAAGAAAACAATTGCTGTGGCCTTCAACTCGACATTTAGATATACCAACGACGTATTGTCAATTAACGATGGTTATTTCCATTCTTATGTCGACACAACCCGGTGAGCTTGAGACAAAAGATACCACAGGGTCTGACACATATTTGGATATTTTATTAGAAAACGACGTTAATTGTAATCTAACAACAAAGCTTTATGATAAACGTGATGACTTTAACTTTTCAATCGTCAACTTCCGTTACTTATGCAGCAATATACCCTTATCACCTGCATACGGAGTTTATATCTCTAAGCTGATTTGATACTCCAGAGCATGCTCTTCGTATGAACAATTTCTAAAACGAGGTAAATTATTGACAAACAAGTTGATGAAACAAGAATATCAGCAGTCTCGTTTAAAGTCACACTTTCGTAAATCCTATGGTCGATAAAATGACCTTGTCAGCAAATACAATCTATCATTACGTCAAATGCTGACTGACTTTTTTCATACTAATTGTTAGGCCATTATTTACACACTGAATTGTCGATGGATTTTCCCGTTATTTCCCGATCATGACAAGGAGCACACGGCGGGTGTGACCGGTCGGCAGGGGATGCCCACTCCTCCATGGCACCTGATCCCACCTCTGATGTCTTAAAGGTCCGTGTTTGCTCTGCTCCTATTTTGTAATGTTTAATGGACTTTTGAGCTTGAATACTGTTTGTTATCTCCACATATTTCATTAGATATTCTTATGATAATGTGTATACCAAATTTCATTTCAGTATGTGCAACCTCTGCGAAGAAAATGAACGGAGACTGTTGGTAGACCGACGGACAGACAGACAGACATACAGACCGACCGACAGACAGACAGCAGCAAAGCAATATGCCCTCCCTTCTTCGAAGGGGACATAAAAATCAAAGAGGATTTATATTTTATTTTGCTATATAAAGCGTTTGTTTGTTTCCCTTCGAGAAATTTTCACTCCTTTTGAGACGCCACCACATGCCGGTGGAGGGTTACAAATTCTCGAAGGGACATTAACTAAACAAAACAAACAAAAATATACACAATTATGTACTTCATATAACTGAATTGCAAATTAAAATTTAATGCACATTCGTTTGAATAGGGCATCTGAAAAATATATCAATTAAAAATGTAGAATATCTCTAAAATTAATGGAGTTTATCCAACTATCTTTTTCTTACCTTCCATGGGTCCCGACTGCTGGGGACTGCCGGATCTTCTGAGAATACCTGTTTAAAATGACAATTGAAAAAATATTCTTTTTGAAAACAATTTTCATGTTCTACTCGCGGAGTTCAAAAAATTCTTTGACGTAAACATAATACCATACAAAAGAAACATTTGGAGAATATTGTCATATAAAATAGTAAATCATAATATATGAATAACAAATTTTTTTTAGTTCGGTGTTGAAAATTGTCCTGAGAAAACCTTTTTCGCATTTAATTTATACACCATAAAGGATTTTTTTTCTGTATGCACAATAGTATTGAGTTGCACTATGATTCTACAATAACTGTAGGAAATTGTTTTGTAAAACAATAAATTTTGAATGTTGAATCAATATTATATGGAGGCAATTTATTGAACATGAGGATATTTATTATAGTACATAAGATACATCTTCGAAAAGATTGTAAGAGGGAAGTCATTTATAATATTCATTATATAACTGCTTTAGCAAAATTTTCAATTGAATGAATAGCTAGGATATATTATTATAAAATAATCGATGTTTGCTATGGTTTGCTTTGGTTCCTTACCTAATCAGTGTTGCATACTTCCACGATTCAGCACCAAACAATTCACTCAATTATTAGCGAAAGACAAATATACTAACGTCTTTATTAAAAAACAGCACATTAGTTACTAATAAAATATTAATTTCAACATTACGTTTTTGAACAAGGTTTCTGAATCCATGGAAGTTCTTTCGATAAGCAACCACCACAGTGACTATAATAGCTACCACCAGTACTACTACTATTAAAACTGGTACTACAACAGCTTCTATATTGACTTCCTCCCTGCAAATAACAAGAAATAACAAGAAATGTTTGCTATCATACAAGAAAAAAAATAATTAATAGAAATTAATTATAAAATTAATTAATGGAAATGAAATATATTTTTACAATTATTCAGCTACTATTTCTGATTGTCCAGAAACTTCACGAATGAAAAAAGTTGAAGTTAATGAACAGTGATCGATCTAAAAATATCTAGAAACAACACAAATCTATATATATATGAACAGGGCATAAATAACGGTACTCGGAAATTTCAGAGGTGGGATTGGGTACTTAGGAAAACTAAGCATTCCTTCTTGACAAGTCAAACTCGCCGTAAGCACTGTGTATTGGTCAGGTAGACGGATCATGCCGTAATCCCCACAATCGGTGTGAAACGCGTCAGCCAAAATAAGACCCAATGATAGGTTATCATTATTAACGACCAAAGCATTTCCAAAATGCTGACTTTAAACAATCAACATACTAATATTTGTCAGTAGTTTGCCTCGGTTTAAAAATTAATCGCACTCAGAGAATGCTCTGGAGTATTGAATAAGTTGGGTAACATAAATAAAGAAAGTTAGAGTCATCTCATTTGTCAAATAATTTAATTCTTAATTGACCGTTTCCGTCTATAGTCAGTAAAACATCCTACTATAAAACAGATGTGACAGACTCTGTGATGTCTTTTATTTCAAGTTCACTGGGATATATCGTGTCGATATATAAATTGAAGTAACTATTGTTAATTGACAAAACGTCGTCGATATATCTAAATGTCTAGTTGAAGGCCACAGAAAGTGTTTTCTTCTCAAATAGAAGTATTTGACTAATTACTGCTCCACAGGAATAAGAAAACAAGCTGATAAAGAAGCACAATTAGTGCCCATCGAAATTCCAACAGATTCTTGGAAGACCTAGTCTCTGAAGACTACATAAATGTTGTCTATAAACTAAAGCATACTTCAAGTATCAGCTTCAGAGTACTTTTGTATAGAATCAGAATGATTTTTAACAAAGTAGTTTAGTTGATGACTAATCACAAGAAATTTCCGAGTTCCATTTTTTTTTTTAGAAGAAACAGTTGTCTATAACATCAAAAAGCTTAGTTTTTAATATATCGTGAAGAATGGTTTAAAATGTAGAAAACTTGCTCGTTTTGTTGTTATTGATTTTTGAAAATTTAGTGATTTTAAATTTTCGAAACTCGAGAAAAGACAGGTTTCCATGAACATATACAAGCTTAAGACCTTGTGACAATTTACATGTAGGTTAAAATGATAAAATGAAAATAGCAGGTAACTGTTTCAATATATTTTTTGTAAAATAAAGACATTACACATTACATACGGTGAGGACTGATCTGTGTCAAACGTTGTTTTTCCAGAAGAAGGATCTATTGAATCTCTGTAAAAATCCAATATCATATATTTAATAAACAAAATAGAAAAAAATGTTGATATACATGCATATCCTTCTATCTTTACGATATCTGCAATGTTTACCTTTGGTTTGTAAATAAATTCTGATAGCATACAGGATCTAAAAAGAAAAAGAAAAAGAAAATGAATTTTCAGATATGTTATGCATGAACTGATATCTAAAGGATCACTACAACCAACATCTTGATATAATAATTACATGATTTAATGCTTACATTTATATACTTCGTCAGAAACATAGGAAGAATTCGGGCATTTCTCGCTGAAACTGCAGTTTTTCCAGTTAAGCTGTCCAGTGGATGTGATGTAAGGACAATAACCTGCATCATATTAAACTTCCATCAACATTCAAAATTCAAAAAAAGAAAGGGGCGTACAAGGCGAGGGCAATCCCCCGCTCTGGGACAATATTTTTCTCAATTTTCAAAGTTCACGGAAAAGTTATATTTTTCTAAAATGATGTTTTCCGTAATGCCTTCTTCAACACATTTGATTCAGTTATTTTATCGAATGACTTTTTGATTGATAATTTGTTTTTAAAGTTGACAGTAAAGCAAATTTAGTGGAAAATGAGTTTATAAGAACCATAAAAAATGTTTTTTGAATATGAATGGGTCAAGTCTCCATTCTTCACTGACGTTTATATGACGGAAAAGTAAATGTAAACTATTTCATGTTTTAAAAAATTGAGTCTGAACCCATTCTATATGAAAATCGAACAATTCTGAAACAAATTTACGCTTCAACAAACTCGTTTATTTACATCACACTGACATCAAACAAGACAAGCAGACTTCGTAGCGCTGTGGTTAACGCGTTCAGTCTTACGCCAAACCGTGAGCTTTGGAGAAGAGTTCGAATCATGCGTGAAGTTTTTTTTTCACATACCTTAAAACATTAGTGAAAAATAAATTATTTGTCAATAATTCATTAAACAAAAATAGGAAACAAATTTATAAAAGATTATATTGACAATATAATTTTTGAAAAATATAACTTTTCATGAACTTTTAGAATTGAAAAATGTTTTTTGCCATAGCAGGGGATCGTCCGCGCCTTACACGCCTTCATTCTTTCTCACTGAAGACTGAAAAACCTCATTCAGACAAAAAACGAATAATAGTATATATAATTAGTGCATTAAATGTACTGAAATTTTGGCTATTAACCTCTTGTTTGAACATATAATTGGTAATTATTCGACAGATCTACGTACTCATCAAAATACACTGTGTTTGAAAAATTCGTTATTGCAGACAACTTTAAAACCAATTAATGCATGTTTAATGCATCATAAAATAAACCTATAAAACGTTTATCTTGAGGACTTAAATTTCAGTTTCGTAGTTGGAATGTACGAAAGCCGGATAAGCTCATTTTTGACAAGATAAAAAAAATTAACTCGTTATAGCAAGATAATTTTCTCGTTATAATGAGTTAGCAACTCGTTATAACGAGTTAGTTATCTCGTTATAACGAGTTGGTTTTATCTTGTCCAAATTAAGCCCATCCAGCTTTCGTTGGAATGATATGTACACGTAAATATTATTTATTCAAGTAAAAGTTGATTCTTGTACCAAAATTGAAAATACATGTAGTTGATATTCCAAAGAAGAATGAAACGTTTAGAACCTTTATCAGTGTAATTTAAGGCAAATCAAATAACATGAGAATGTACCTCCTTTAAGTAGAGTTTTTTCAATACACACTTCTCTCAGTACACCATCATTATCCGGCAGACAGTGGTAGGTAAAGTTACAATTCTTCATTCCCTCTGCTCTATCTTCCCAATCCTTCTTTATTCTGGGACATGTAGAGACTTTTCCCATCATAGTGTCTGAAATAAAAGAGAGAAACTGCGCGACATATAATAACATTCAAACTCTTTATCTGACATTAGTAAATCGAAGTGAACTTTAAATAAAAGACACCACAGAGTAGACCACATCTGCATCATATTTGGACGTTTTAATGACTATATATGGCACGCCGATTGCTTCAAAATTATTTTCTGCACAACGATCACGATTTTATACACGAGCTTGATGAAAAATATACACGAGTAAAATAAAAATGCACTTATCGGTAAAAATTGCACATAGTTTGAAAGATTTTAACACAAACATAACGAAAATACACGAATCCGAAATTTTTTACACGATTAATGGGTATAAAATGCACAAACGTAAAATCAAAAACTGCACGAGCAGAGGAAACTAAAAATTACACAAACAATTTTACTGCGCACACAGCTGCGCATATCATTATTATGCACATAGAATATTCATTGTGTTCTTGGTTTTCTGTACTCTTTATCTCTTCTTGAATGCTGGATGTAATCGAGAGAAAATGGCGTTGACGATGATATGCATGTTTGTTTGCTTCTTTATTTCTTTGCTAAAACTCGATCCGATTTCTAGCTAATGCAAATCAAACGAATGAAGTTTTTTCTTGTGAACTGTGTGAAAAAAAATTAAAAGTTGTTCGGAGAAATTATATTTTTCTTATATTGACCGAGATCCTAGCAAAATTTGGAGGTATTATATGATGCCGGACATAAATTGTGACAAGAAAGGAATCGCATGGTTGTGTTATAATGCGGGGGGAAAAGTACCATTGCATATGATGCACTTGATGCACTCGACTCTGAACTAAAAGTAATACACAGCAAACTCTAAATTCCTAACGATAAACAGATCTTGCTTTAAGAAAATGATAGAATTATTAATTTATTTTTTTTGGAAATATACGCTCTATATGGCCTTTTAAAATTATCTAACTTGTAGATACAACTTTAACGGAAATTACTTGTATAAAATAAAATTAACACATGCATAATAAAACGATTAATAAAGTGGATTCTTCATGAAAATGATGGCAGACTTATTGCTGATTATAATCATTAAATTGTAGAATTTATTTCGGTACTTCTCATTGGTACTAATTATGATTTCATTTGAGCAGATTTTTTTTCATTTGGGAATAGGAAATTCAAATATAAAAAAAAATATTTCTAATTATACATGTATCTTTACTTATAAAATATGAGGATATCAATTTTGGTTAGATATCTGTAGCCTACACTGTTATGAATCCCTTCCATGATATCGCATATTTTCAGTCAAAAACTGCTCATTAAAAAACAAGACATTCCTAAGGGTAAGCGTTACCCTCATTCGTAATGACGATTACTTGATAAATGTTTTCACTTTTAATAAAAAGGGCCAGATAAAGGAAAAATATATACTCTATGTGCTTTATATACATGCGGTTTTGTGTTTTGTTACTTAAAATTTGTCCAAATGAAATAACGAAACTCTACTCAAATGATCCTGGCACCGGTAAAACTAATGACATTAGTGGCGGATCTGGTTCGTGGATTGATTGAGTCGCAACATATGAATCTATGTGTTTATTAAGGTTTCAAATCGTTGGACCAAAATGACACGTCAGAAATTTTAAAACAGTGAATTACTAAATACATGTACGTACAATGTTACAAATAAGAAAATGGGAATGGATATTATAATAAATAGAAAGAACATAGAACGTGTTTTATCACTCTTGAAAATGCAAATAAATCATGTTCTTTATGGAGCTCGAGGTTTGACAAAGATTTTACAAGATAACAAATTTATTTACATTTCGAATTTGTATGCATAAAATTTTAATTATCATCCGAACACTTGTTTTTTTGTAATAACACTTTTTTTTTTACCCAAATCTATAGTCACTATAAAAAGAACATGACTGTATAATTATAAAATGAAAATAATCTTCAATAACATTCAAGGAACATATTTGATAAAGCTCCACTTTTTAAAAGATTATTCATGTGCATATCTAACATTTTTGAAAATTCAGATTATGAGTTAAAAAGACTAATCTATGCAATATGAATTTTGTACGTACCGGTATATATGTACAAGTAATTAAAAAGTTTGCTTTATAGCAATATTGTACATGTGTATCAATGGCATCAACCAGGTCTTGTTTTACTTTGAGCATGACTACGAATAAATATAAGAAAACATATGATGAATATAAACCTCAAGAAAGTTTTGTTTTATTACCGTGTGCAAATTTATTATTGTCAAAATCTGCATTGAAAATAAATATGCATGTGTAGCCAAGTCCCAGCTAATTAAGTTCATCTTGTACATCTTCTTGAATTTGGTCTTACGATATCGTAACAAATCAGTTAAATTGCAATCCTGATTTCGATAGACTATTACATGTACCCTTAAATTCTTAGAAAATATTACAGGCACGTAGCATCAGTAGGGGTATCCCCCCCACACTTTTTTCCAAACATAACCTACTTCTATTGTAAATGTCCACTGAAAAAGCTGGTTGCCCCCCCCCCCCTTGTTGTAGGATAGTTTAAATCAAAGTAATTTGGTATTATAATGTGTTTCGAAAAAAAGTGCAAGGTGGACCCCCCCCTCCCCCACGAAATAGGATTTTCGAGTTTGGACACTTTACCTTTTTTGTTGCTTGTCAGGGTTTTTTCAGGTAGGTTGTCAAAAAAAGAAAATCTGGCTGCCCCCCCCCCCCCCTTTCAAAAATGATACTACGTGACTGTATTTTATAATTTTAAATTTTCTTCACTCCTTTATATGCATTTAACTATTCAAAATAGACTACCGCCGGTACATTAAAAACAACATAAAATTAAGCTTTAATTCACATAAGTAAAACGACGTATAATTTTTCTACAGTTTCATGGAGTTATTGAAATCACCACACGTTGCTCAAAAGTTAAGACTACATGTACTACTTTGTTACATAAATAAATTTTATCAAAAAGTGAGATATGCGTTTCAATATTAAAATTTCAGTTGCGCAATTATTTGCTCGATTTTCTTTACTGTTGACTTCCAAAAAGTTTTCGGTCAAATTCCACAACCCAGATGATCGCAACATTGCTTCAAAATCTTTGTATGAATTGTCAGTAATCTTTGATCAAAAGGTATTATTGGTGTGTGAAATAGCTATAAATCGATTAGCGTACAGATGTCTTTCGTTCCAGAACCAGCAGGGAAGGATCTCTGTATGAAAAGGTCACGCATGCACATCCTTTATTATTACCAAAAGTACACACAGTGGGTGGTGAAGGAGAAGAGTTTGATTTGTTGTTAACTCTCCTGTATTATATCACATATTTTTATTTACTTTAATTTAGGCCTATATATCATTGTTTTAAACTTTCAAAAGAATTTGCTATTTAGAGGAATGACCTACTAAAAAAAATCCAACAATTAAACACACAACGGTAATATGCACACCCCCCTTTTTTACGTTATCTATACATGTATTCTTTGTAGAATGTTTTTTATTCGGGAGTGTTCATATACTACAAGTTTAAGATTGTGTGCCTGTCAATTAATCTACATGTATAATATACGTTGTACATATTCTTGAGAGTCTAGCGGAATTTTAAAAGAATCTTTTTTAAAAATATTACTAACACGTTACTCGTATTTATAGTATGTTTCAAGCATCCAAGCCACATTGACCTGTTCTCTAATGAATATTAATGAAATGTGCGCAATGAGGATGCGTTCCATATTATGTCGATGTTGTATTCTCACTCGTGCAGTTTTCGTTTTTACGTTTGTGTAATTTTCTCACTATATCGTGTAAATATTTTGTTGATTGTGCAGTTTTTCTATAGTTTGTGTAAATTTCAATAACTTCGTGTATATTTTCCTCACTTTGTGTAAGTTTTTACTTACTCGTGTAATTTTTGTTTAAGGTCGTGCAGAAAATAATTTTGAAGCAATCGGCGTGCCATAACTATAGACTAAAGCCTACTAACAACTAAACTAAACAAGAGGCAAAGGGCTTTAACATGCAGTCACATGAGTATAATACAACAATGTAGAGGATCCATAGAGTACGTATAAAATAAACTTATAGATGAAGCTTTGTTGCCCAAAAGCAGGAGAAATAGGATGATCAGGATCAATGAAATAATGAGTTTAGTATTCAGTAACAACTCATGAATTAAGTTCTAGTTTGTTCCCCATTTGTCACTATCACCATGCAGACTATTAACAAACTATTAGTGCTTCTGTACTATTTTTAACCCCATAATTGTAACCTTTCACATTGGCCTCTCTTAATCTTTGAAGAACATTTAATAAGAAAAGTTATTTTTGCTTCTTTTTTTTTTATTTTTATTTATCTATTTTTTACAACTCTGTCTGATCGTTAAAATCACGAAAATACCTTTAGTATTATTAATTTTTTTTTGCATAATTCTCTTATTCTATTAACTTTCCAAATACTTTATTTACAGTGATTAATTGTCAAAAGTGAATGGCAAAGGGGAATAACTTCTCTCAGTAAAATATGAATTAATAGAGCCCTGGCCAGGACCTGAATACTTGATCAAATGGTCCAGATGTTCCAAAATCTGGTAAAAATATCCTCACTTTTTAAATCATTTACCCTGTTTGCCCTCGATATGCCTAGGAGCAGAGAAGATTTTCAAAGAAATAATGCATTTACACTACAGATTCAACACAGCCCAGGGTACTCTAACACCAAAACCCATGATCCAGGATGATGAATTTCACAAATTTGGAAGAGGTACCCTCATCATCATACATGTAACTATGCACTAAGTTGAAGATTTTCAAAGAATTAACACATTTTTACTATATTATCAATAACCCCCCCCCCCCCCCCCCATGAAACACCAAAAAACCTGACCATCGGACCACAAGTTTTAAAAAAAATGTAAGAAGCGTCCTTGTTCATCATAACTAAGCACTTTGTTTATCTGCTAAACATTGTGGACCAGACAAGATTATTTAACAGAATTTATGC